AGTCATGTCTGGACCTGCCTCTACAAAGCCCAACAGCCATGGCGAGCCCCCCTCTCCTTTCAACTCCTGTTTGATGTCTGTTCCAACACCCTTGTTGAGATCTTCTGAGATTTTTGTTCCTCATCATTGTGAAAAAGTACATATTTAACGCTATGTGTCAATAACTATTAAGGCATGAGGCGTACCTGTAACTTCTGTTGATTCCTTTCTTATCCTTGTTTCTCATAGCCCACATCCTCATCATTTTTCTATTCATTGTTTTTCTGGAAGATTCTTTCAGAGTGTCCGTGGGTGGATAACTTTCTGAGTCCTCCTTTGCCCTCCCACATGAATGCTAGTTTGGGTGGATATGAGATTCTTTGTTCAATACTTCTCCTTTTCAGACTTGTTAAAGTATTATTTGTCCTCTTGTATTTGGTGCTGAAGAGAACTTCTTTAATAAGAAACCTGTTTTCTTTTTCCCCTCACGGGATGTTTTTCTCTTAATCTTTTGTCCAGAAATTGAGCTACTGTGTGTCCACAAGTGAATCTTTTTTCATATTTCTTCTTGAAATACGGGGAGTTTGAAAATATAAACTTTCGTTCTAACGCTAAATGTTTTATTCTTGATTATTTCATTCCTTCCATGTTTTCATTTCTTTTTTCTGGAATTCCTATGAGGCAGATGTAGGAACTTCTGAATCTAAACTCAGATTTTTCTCTTTCTTTGCTGTTTCCATCTCTTTGTTGTTTCCATCTCTTTGTCATTAGGAGTTTTTCTTTGGTTCTGGGAGGTTTTCTGGGCTCCCTTGTCCAGTTTGCATAATTCTTCAATTTTTCACATCTCTGGAATCTGTTGAGTGAATTGTCTATTTATATTTTAAACTAATAAATTTTCTCAACTAGCAAAGACCAAATAGATAGAAGCAATTCTGATGATTATGGATAAAAAACTTAAAAGCAAGATGACACGAAAATTTCATTGTAATTCAAATGGTTTTTAAGGAGTGGAGGAACTTTGCAAAATGAAGAACAAACGTTCCTAAGGAAGAATGTAGACAAAAGACAGAAAAATTGCAAATGAAGTGCAACAGAAAATTCAGGTAAAGTTCATACAGAAATAAGAACTTAATATACCATGAAGTTGAGATACCAATTTAGGAAGAAATGCCTGGATTATTAAATCAGTGGTACTTATATAAGCAATGGTCCACTGGAGGCTAAATATTATAACTCATGTCAAGTCCTGTATAGATGAATTCCAAATAAATTAAAAGAAAATCATTAAATGAGCCACCTCGATAAATGAATACATAGATAAATAAATAATAAATGAATATGGTTAAAATAAAATTTAGGGGAATATTTGTAAAAAACTGGCACCAGTCAGACCTTCTCATGCGAGATAAGACACACAAGCATACGTGATCACAGTAATTACCACAATATTACTACAGTGACAGTTTGTGGTAGATAAAATGTAGAAACCCATGAAAGAAAAGTGATGGAGTGGGCTATGAACACTTGTGGTAGGAAGAGGTTCCAAAGATTGACGTTTTAAGGTGCTATGACAAACAGAGAGATATAAACTTGCTTAGTCATCAGTGTGAGAGCATACATTACCACAGACCTTTGGGAGGGTGAGTCAATTCTGTGTCATTGGTGGTGGCTCTGTGAATGTGGTGTTCATCACTTGACTCTGTACCAACACTTACATAAGTGCGTGACAGTAGTGAGGCCTTGACATAGCCATGTGGGCCTGGTTCCATAACTCTGTTACATTGGTCATGGGATGCACAGAGCTTGGTTTTATTGTTGGTGGTGCTATTCAAGTAGGGGACTCTGGTAGTGCTATTCACAGAATTCACATATGTAAGTCTGTGATGGTGGTGTTCATAAAATCCTGTGATGCATGTACACACAACTCTGGGTTAGTGTCCATTGGCTATCACCCTGACACATTATTCATGTTATTGATGTCCTTGTGCAATGCATTGGCAATATTCACCTAACTCTATGATGGTTGGTGTTCATATAATTTTCCATGGAGGTGGTATCTTCTTTTTTTTTTTTTTTTTTTTTTAGAGGCATGTTTTTTTTTTATTTATTTATTTGTTTGTTTGTTCGTTCGTTTTGTTTATACAAGCACTGGGTACAGTCAGAAGCGCGGGAGGGTGAGAGAATTCACCAGAGCCAGAGCGGGGAGCAGAGCAGGCAGAAGGACCGAAGTACACTGCTGAGGGGAGCAGCGGGCGGCAGGAGAGGTCTGCGCGCCATGTGGGACCCTCCTTCGGTGGCCGAGGAGCAGCCGGGGATCGAACCAGCGCCGCAGAGGTCGCCGGCAGCTTTGCAACCCAGCGCTCAACCGCTGCGCCACCGGGGAGGCCCGAGGTGGTATCTTCTTAAGTGTAAATTTTCTCATGGTAACTTTGCTGTGGTGGCCAGAATATTCCACAACTGCAGTGGTGATGATATTCAGATGGTGCTGTGATGTTGGTCATAGTATTTACATTACCAACAGCCCTGTGCTGTTGGTTACAGTGTTCACATAATATCGTGATATGGACCATGGTCTTTACATGTGTGCTGTTGGTCATGGTACTCACATCATTCATTGTGGGTAGTGACAGCCCCATGTCTGCATCCTTGGGAGTCTAGTCGGGGCAGCCACCTAGCCTTGTTATGATGTTGTTGTTTGCATACATACACATCATTTACAACTGGGATAATTGTATTCACATGATTTTTTGACATTGTTGCTGGTGTTATTCCCATGACTGTGATCTTGTCCATGGTACCCACACACTGCTGTGATGATGAAGAGGTGATATTCAAGTAACTATGTGATGGTGGTGTTGTGTTCACATGACCCTGCAGTGTTGGTGGCAGTTGTGTTTACACAACATTAGCATTGTCTGTGGCTCATTCATTATTTCATAACTGCAACCTGTCATGGTATTTGCATAATTGTGCAGCATGGATGGTGTTGTTCACACATCTTGTCACAGAATGAAGGTGTAAGTCAGATATCTGTGACTCAGTCATGGTATTTGCACAACTTCATGACGTGATGGCATTGGTATTGACAACGTGACTTCAAGTCAGTTATGTTAGTACTCAGGTCAATTTGTGTCTCTGGTCAGGAAGCTACTCAAAACTCACAGAAATCTGCCTTGGTGATGGTGACGTTCACAAAATCCCATGAAGGTGGTACCATTTGCATCATTCTGTGGTTGTAGTCATGGTGTTGACACATATCTTCGCGATATTGGTGCTTACATTTCCTAATTTCCATGGCAGTTGTGGTGTTCAAATAGCTCCACCCTGCAATGGTGGTTAAGGTGTTCATGTAATTGTGAGGCTATTGGTTGTAACATCTCTGTGATGGTGGTGGTGGAATTCATGTATCTCCTTAATATTGTTGATTGTGCTCCCTAAAATCTGAGATGGTATCGATGATGTGCTCAAATAATCCTGTATGGTAGATGTGGCGGTATGTATGGTGTTGCTATTTGCATAATTCTGTGATGGTGTTTATGTTTATGCAACTCTATGATGGTGGAGTTGGGACACATTAACCATGCAACTAGTCATGTAATCCACATAACCCTGCGGTGGTCATTGTGATAGCCACATACCTGTGATACTGGTAGGTCGGTATTCACAGTGCTCTGCCACTTTGGTCCTGCTAGTAACATAACTGTGAGACTGAATGTGGCCTTCAGATCATTCTGTAATGGTGATATTGATCAATGATAATTATCAGTGGTGGTATTGATAATAGTTCTGTGGCACTGGTGATAGTGGAACTCCTGTATCACTGCAGTGTTACTGATGGTTTTGACATAGTGTAAAACCATGGTGTTCACATTACTCTGTGGGGGTGGGGTGATATTGCGTGGCTCTGTGACTTTGGTGTGGTATTCATATTGTCCTAGTTTTTACCTGTGTCTATTATACTGGTTGTCATAATCAATAATCCTACAATGTTAGTGGTCACTTAATTTTTATTTTAGGTATTAATCTTGGTACCTATGCACTTTGATAGTGGTGTTGAAATAACTCTGTCATGTGCTATTGGTGGTTTAATATAGCTATGCAATGTTTGGAGTAATCATCACATTTTATGGTTGTAGAGACATGCTTAAAGTTACCTAAGAAATGAGAAAGCCAGGTTGAAATTCAGCTTTTCCGAATAATTCAAATGCAGTCTTTTCTGTATAGACACAATGATTGAAATCAACATTTTTCTAAAGGTATAGACATACACACACCACTTCAAATTCCCCAAGGACATCGGGACACAAATATATCTCTACCATTCTAGTTGTTTATAACATTAGCTATGTCTATGTATTCACGTATACATATATTTTCATGTGTTAAATGGATAAAATATTTAGCAACAAATTTAGGCATATAAATTGAACATCTACAAATTTATGTTAAATAACACAGAGGAAGACTTTCTGGTAATGAAAAATAAAGCATCTTTGAGGGTAAATTATAGTTATTAGAAGGACCCAAAATATATTTATTAAGTAGTAAAGTTTAATGCTTGTGGAAATGGTGGTATTATAGTGTTTTTCATGTTTTCTTTAAAAATTACAAGTCTCAAGAAGCACTGTAAATTATTACAAAGGTGCTGTTGGGATGGTGGGGTTTGGGTAGTCCTTACAAGGCAGAGTGTATTTAAATGGTCATTGAATTATACATTTAAGATTTATACATCATGGTCATGTTTGTACCTAAACAAAATTTTTTAGAATGTACTTCTAAATAAAATGAAAATATGGCTTTCAGAAAAGTCAATTATAGAGCAACTCTAAGCACTCAGGATATTTTCTTATGTGTGTAAATAATAGCTTTTATAGAAACAGAACAACCAGTCACCATGAATATAAAATTAAGATGTGATTTAAGAAATGTGTAGGGCTTCCAAAAATGCCTCTGATGTAGTTAGAAATTGTCTCTGCCTCTTACTTCCCAGGGCTCATGATTTGCATTTTTTTCCCTTATAGTACTTGGGGTGCATTGAAGTTCTGCGCTCAATGAGGTCTCTTGACTTCAGTACAAGAACACAAATTACCAGGTAAGCTCTCTTGAATGGACTCCTATGTTTTTACTTCAGAAGGAATAGTTGCAAAGATCAACAGTGTAGAAGTTTCCAGAGGGAGAGACTGGTGAACAAGGGCAGGCAGGCAGCAGCCACTGTATTTCAGGACATCTGTGAGTTCATGATGTGTGATATGTCTCTAGACATGAACTCCCTGAAGTACACTTCAAGCTTCCATGCTTTTTTATTATTAAGCTGCAGAGAAATGGAATATTTGTTTGTTTGTTTCTTTAATATATGAAACTTGAAGGGATCAACGATTTTGAAACTTTTATATATTTACCATTAACTAGTTTCTTAACTTCTTGAGGGGCAGTTTTTTATATAAGCATTGTATTTTTTAAAATAAAGTTCATAGCCTAGTAGAATATATAACTTTAGAAAAATGTTGATTTCAATCATTGTGAAGAGGATTAGATTGTGAATTACCTATGTTTTCATGGTGATTAGCTGATGTTGCTTTGATAATTGTGGCTTGTTTAATCTAAATAGTGATGTTACAAAATAGATCATATTTATTTCATTCCAATCACTGTTATATATCTTTGGGGGTAACAAACCCAAGTCTAAAGATGGAGCTTCAGGAAACAGTTATTTATAGCAGTTCACTGCTAAATAATGTACACATCCCAATTCTATGTTTTAAGCATCACAATAATACCTCTTCTTCACTGATTGATATTTCTCTTTTCTGTAAAGCAACTCAGGCATACATTGTTGGATGGTACTGTTCTATACTAAGTGCAGCAATCTAGACTCAGGAAGAATTCCTCTCCATGTAGAAAATGACTTATGTAAACTGCTAAGGCCAGGGAATGACACTTTAAGTGAGATCATTTAAAAGAATAGTTTGAATATTGCATAGTCAATCCTTCCTTCACCTCCCCTATAGAGAAGCAGGCACAGCTCAATATCCATGGGCAGTGCACTATGCCATGTGCCTGGAAGTTCAGAAATGCATGATGGTTACCTTCCCTTGTAGGTGGCTGTTATCTTTAATGAGAACTGTCGACCGTATTAGCAGAATTGTCTTTACGGATACTAGAATTTCTGAGATGGTCTCACATCATTTTAATTCTCCTGATACATTTATGGAGCATTTCCTGCTCTATGGGCATGCACAATCTATGGCCAACACAGGGTGTCCTCTTCTGCCAGGCCTCCCAGTTTTGGAGAGAAAGTCACATTCATAACTGACTAAGGGATGTTTGAGGGACACAGATCAAATCCTACTCCTTGGAGGTGACAAATGGATGACAATGAGCAATCCTGATGCTCCCTTGATGAGGGTCTTGGAATTCTCTGGGGGTAGACTCTAAATGGGCACAAGTAATAATAACATAGTAAAAGGAAGTGATGGACAGGACACAGGTGGGCTCTGGGGTTTGGGTATTTTTTTCCAATATCATTCCGCTTAGATTTCAGAAATGCCCAGAGTGGAGTGCCATTCTTGGACTTCGGAAACTTATTGTTGAATTTTGGCTGTACCAGAATTGTTGGGTTCTTAGACTTTTTGCAAATCACATGTGCTTGCCTCCATGATGCTTTCTGCCTCTTGCCAGGCTTTTTTCTTATTTAAGTTTTGTCAAATTTGTAGGAAACAATTTACAAAATCAATGCTAGAAAGAAGCCTTTCATCTGAGAGGATTATCCACAATGTTGTGTACACTTGGAGCTTTTAAGGTCTCTCTGGTATTGAGTGTTAACTATGCCTATTATTGAACTCTACCCCACATGTACTTACATTCTACACACATTCTTGAATGTTGTAGGGAAAGCTACTGTTGTAATCAAGAATGTCACACAGGCTGTAGGAAAACTTGTTTCTAAAAGGTCCCCAGCCATGTTTTTTTTTTTAAAAATTAAATCTTCATTAGCAAATAACAAATCTCAAGTCACCTGTTCCACTGCTTTCAAGTTTGTTATATATGTTTTGGAGACTCCTAAAAGGGACTTATAATAAGACTCAACTGCAGGCATACACAAAAAGGTTAATAAAATGTTTATTTACAAAAGAAGGGGAAATGAATAACTCAGGCAGAAAGAGAGGGAGATAAATTGGTGAATGTGTCCTACCAGTTCCGCTGAGCTGGAAGCCCAATAGCGTGCTGAGAGCCGGTGAAAAGCCAAGAGACCCCCAAGGCCGACCTGTCTGGTTTTATACCAAGCCTGGATGCTTAACTCCACCCTCAGGTCCCAGCAGCCTTCCCTTCAGTGATGATGATGTTATGGGATTTGTACTTCTTGATATCTTGGATATCTTTGATCTGGAGTGGGGGTGGAGTCCATAAAACCTATTTGTGGAGTTTGTTCAGGGCATCCTTTCCCCCTAACAAGGTTAGTTTTAAGCTTTTCCTGTGTCTGAATTTAGATTGATTGTGGTGCTTTCAATAACATCATCCATGAAATATTAAGCTTTACTGATAGATACCTTTCAAAACCATCTGGGAAATGGCAACTGATTACATACTTAGCTGCATCAGTGCCTGGTTAAAGCTGGGCGGAGGTGCTGGCTGTCTTGTTCACACTAACCAGTGCTCACTGCTTGGAGGAGTCACATGTACCAAAGCCTAGTTCTGACACTTCCCACCTGTGTAAGCGTGACCTCAATGTGTACACCCATTAAAGGTACATAGCTGAGGGGTGGGTCTGCTCCAGAATGGGGGGATGGTGAAAATTCTCTATGAATGTGCATAAAATACCTTTGATTTGAAAACCAGAATCAAAGTCAATGAAAGGAAAATTTCTCTCTTGTGCTGAGGGGGCCGCCAGGGGACTTTTACTGCTGATGCTATCACATTTTTGAAGTTCAGTGTCGGCCAACTGCACTGGTCACTTGGTGCCACACAGCTGGGTGCAGGTGCACAGCTAGCCATCACAGGAATGCTCTGTCACTGGGGTCCTGTCTGTTGCACGTTTCAGGTGAGGACTCTGGTGAGAAATGTGTTCACTTGGCATTGGTCTGAAAGTCCTGGGCAGTTAAAAATTAAAGGACTTTAATTTTGAGCAAAATAGCAAGCATGTCCAATGATGCAAAGAAGGGAGCAGAGGCCTGGCACATGTGCTCTCTGAACTGTGGATACCTGGGATACACAGAGAGTGGCAGCTGGGCTGGCTGGGCTTGCTGGGGTCTCCTTGCCTGCCCAGTGCACAGAGGGTCCATCTGCAGCCCCAGGGAGGGCAGCTTCGCACAGCTCAACTCTGCCCACCCTCTCTTCTCAAGTCGACATGAAGGTATAGGAGCATTCGCACTCCTGGCTCCCAATGTTCCATAAATGATCTCCAAAAAGAGTCCAAGGTAAAGCTCTCCCCCGACTACCCCACAGTCCTCCACCTCCATTGAGTCCCTGATGTCCTCATCTGTGTCCTTCCATCCCAGCTCTGCGCATTTCCTCTCTGTGCATGAGGCCTCCCCTGAGATGGGTGCCTGATGGACTTCCCGTCTGAGAGGGTCTGAGTAGGCTGTGTGCTGTGCACCCTGAACTCTCTGCTCACCCACTTCATGGGACCCTTCCACCATTTTGCCTCCAACATTTCTGTGTCTCATGGCCATTTCATCACAAGTTCATCTGGGGGTTGGAATGATGCATACAGTGGGAGGGGAAGGGCACATATACTAACAAGATGTTTGTGTTGCTTTTAGAGGCTCTGCCATCGTCAGGGCATGTGAGGGCTGTGGTGGCAGAAGATGGATGCAGAGGGAGAAGAGCAGGTAAGGAGTGCAGCTGCCTGGCTTCGGGGTACCACAGCCGGGTTCAATGGCAATAATGTTGGAAATACCCAAGATGGTGGGGATCTGAGCACCTTCTGTTCAGGTCTGGGGTCATTGTTTCCTCTTGGAGAACATGGCATGAAGTCTACATGAGCACCAAGTGGGCAGGACTGGCTGTCGCTGTGCAAACCCAGAGGTAGTTCTTTGGGAGGTCTGGCATTTGGAGACGCTGTGTTTCAGTGGTGTGTGCTTTTTACACCTTGCACGAGATGAAGAAAACCAGGCAGGCCTCTGTGCAGAGGCTTCTCCCTGTACCCCCAATATGATCTTTATTATCAGACTGCCCATTTTCGGGGTCCCAGAATTCTTTTTCAGTACAAAGCAAACACCACTGACATTGATTTAAGTTCAAAGTGCCAGAAAAAGTTGTGGATCTGTAAAAATCTTCCCTGAGGCTGCTTGGTTCTCAGAATTAGAAAGGAGAGCAGGTTAGGTGTGTGAATGGTTGACCCCACCCAGCCTCCGTGTTTGAGATCCAGGAGGGCTAGTTTGTGATTTTAGCCTTGTGGGTTCATTCTAAATTTACTTGTTCTAAACATGTTTCACAGGCTAAGCCTTTTGCAGCCCCAGAGGGGTGAGGCCTGGCAGGGAAGGAGTTCATGTTTTCTCAGCTTAAAATTCTTTCTGAAAACACCAGCTTGCCAACAGGCAAGTGCATCCAGTCTTTGGATAAGGCAAGCTGGGTCCTTCGCCTTCACTTCTACATTATTACTTTGGTTGTAACACCAACCAGAAGGGTTTTGTACCCCTGTGTCTCCTTCATTGGCATTTGTATTTAAGAATGTGCCAGGTACAGGGCTGCACAGATTACAGATACTCAGGGTCTGTGGTCTGGGAGAAAGGCCTGGAGTCACAGCCAGTGGGGCTGGTGTTCAGTGAGAGTATTTCAAAAGTTCCACGGAAACCTGAAGAGGGTCCCTGGGACCTGAGGAGTCCAGAAGACTTCCTGGAGGAGGAAACATATAAGCTGGGTAGATTCCTCTTGACTATATGGCAAATCTGAAGGAAGCATAAGACTTGGGCTGGCATCTAAGGTCAGATGGCAAGGCATCTGGAATGTGGGTTGAGTGGCTCCTGAGAACCACTTTACTGATCCCATATGGTTCTGCCTGTCAGCTCTGTGCAGTAATTCTGGTACACACCCAAGGGTGGGGGCTTGAGCTGTCATGGCAAAGGAATACAAAGACAATTTTCACCCATAGGG